CATTTTTATAGTAAAATATGCCTTTTAAAAAAAAGAGTCAACTCTCCCTTCAAGACGTGTCAACTGTTTTCCTTCGGCCTAAAAACTGCAGTAGAAGCATTTTTAGGCATTTATTGCTTGGAGTACTTCCCTTGTTAGTCCAAAAAAATTTTTCGTTATTCAAGCGTTTCGTCATACGAAGATTTATTTTGGCCGAAGATCACATCTTGGGACCTCTGAAATTATTCGTTATAGAGAGGCTTTGCTACCGGAGTTTCCTTTCAGCAAAAAAAAAACACTCTATAACAAACAATTTGATAAATTTCAAGACCCAATTCTACGCCAAAATGAACTTCCATGCAACAAAACTTTACATAACAAATATATTTTTCGTTCTTTTGCTATTCGTTGTAGAGAGGTTCTGCTGTAACGCTTTTTTCGTTTATAACACATAATAATAAAAAAGGAATTCGTTTTTGTCTCTTTCTTTCTTTTTGTCGGCATTTCTTTTTTCTGGCCATTATGTATTTTTTGTTCGTTGCCGAGTATCGGAAAATGGGGGCGAGGGAAAAATGGAGCGTTTCTTTTTCTATTTGCGAGATTTTTAAATCCTTAAAGAGAATTTAGAAATAAACAAAAAAATTTCCGACGACATTGCACTCACTATTTTCCCGACAGAATGATATATAGTTCGTTATATTTCAAAATAAACGTATTTTACAAAGAAAAATTATTTCAAATATCTTCTTACTTTTCGCTTTTTTCGAGTTAAAAATCTCAAGTTTTTGTGATATTACAAGCTTAATATTTCGAGATTTTTTCGAGTCTTATGTTAGATTAGATGTTGCAAAAAACTTTTATTTTAAATTTCACAATTTTTTGGATTTTCTCACAAGGAAAACTTTAATGGGGTATGGAGTTACAGGCCGAGATATATATCAAAAAAATCGCAAGATTTTTCGGATTCAGAATATGCAAAAATTAGCTGCCTAATTTTGGTTTGTAAGGGTGAAAAAACCCTCGGAACTTTCTCGAAACACCACGCAAATGCCTCTTTGACCAAGTTTTTACCAAATCCAAAGCTTGTTTTTGAGCTAAAGTAAACTCTGGTATCTTTACAAGCCTCCTTCCAATGTAAAAAAGGCGCATTTTCATGGTGTCGCAAGAAAAGTTCTGAGGACTTTTTCACCCTTACAAACCAAAATTAGGCAGCTAATTTTTGCATATTCTGAATCAGAAAAAATTCGCAAATTTTTTGATATATGACTCGACCTGTAACTCCATACCCCATAGAAGTACTTTCCTCGTAAGATACATGTCCCGTCAAAAAGTATGAGCTCTAAAATAAATAATTTTCAAAAGAATTTTGACCGTATTTTACCACCTTTTTATCTATATACCATCTAAAAAATATATATATATGTATTTTTGTTCAAATCTTCTTTTACAATATTTTCCCAAAAAAAGATCTAATCTCACCTTATTCTTTTATTCATTCTATTCATTTTACCATTTTTTTTTTTATTTTTTAATCCAAAAATCGCTCTTGAAACTATTTTTTTATTCCAAATTTACTATTGCATTTTCAATATTGTTGCTTACAGGGGAAGTACTCCAAGTGCGACGCTCAGATTTTGATGAAACTTGGCACAAATTTAGTATAATTTTTTCTAAGATATATACGAGAATCCTAGCTCGCGCTTTGCAGAAACAACCGAGATTTTTAGATCGAAAGTCGGTGAAAATTTAGGAGTTTTTGCCGAATTTCGGCATGAATATTTCAACCGTAAAGGATAATGTTTCCACAAAAAAATCAAATTTTTCCGCTCAAAACTGCCAAGGTAATGGCCAAAAAAGCGTTTTTCTCTCTGACCGCTCTTCACGTTTAGCCTGCTCTCTCGGCGGCAAAAATCGGTCGATATCCCGGCGGCGCCGGCAAAGCGCGAGCTAAAACTTTCAGGGATTGATATTTAGTCCATAGCCGACGTGTGTGCAAATTTTAAAGAAAATCTGAGCGTCGCAATTGGAGTACTTCCCCTGTTAGGTTCTATTTCAAAGATAGGAATTATGCAAGAATAAAATGCGTATTTTATTTACAGTTAGTATTGGAATCGAAAGATACCAATAGCCAAACCCCGTATTTTACCATTATTTTTTTCTGTTTAATTTTTAGCATCAAATTTCAAGCATTGCGCAAATAAAAAAGATTTTTTTAAACTTTTTTTAAAAATTTTCTTTTTTTTTTTTATTTTTTTTGAAACAAAACTTTCGCAAAGTCGCCGAAGTGACTCCAGCGACTTTGCGAACGGACTATTGCTTTTGTATTCAAAAAAATTTATCGAAAATTTTCCCATGTATCGTTCGCTCTTCTAGTATTACTTTCTTCTTCTCTCTCTTTTTTTTTTTTTTTTTATTTTTCTCCCCCTCTCTTTCGCCGAGGCCGTGGAGGGAAACCTTGACGCACAAGAAGCGGAAAAAAAGAATGGTCGAAGAACAGCGCAAAAGTGGCACACCGGCCCTTTTCGCTCTCTTCTCCCCCGTTTTCTCACCCCTCCAAAAGAATGCACGTCTCCGTTTATGGGGCTTCGAAGACGGCAAGGGGGGTTCGGTTTCGAACATGTTCTGTAGCCGGAGGGATGGTATGCCAATTTGTTGAGGTGTTGGAAATTTTTGAACGACTTTTTTGGACTGAAAATGACGGGGGAATGCGCGGATTTTGCCGAAAATTGGAACTTTTAGGTTTAAAAATGGGAAATATTTCAAATGCGGCGCTCAGATTTTGATGAAACTTGGCTCAAATTTAAAATAACCCTTTCTGAGACATATGCAAGACTTTCAGCCCGTAGTTTACTTAAATGACCAAGATTTTTTAAGCCAAAAGTGGTCAAAAATATGACGTTTTTTGCGAATTTTTACAAAAAATGTTCCTTGCCCATTTCTTCCCAAGCAGATTTTAACGAAACTTGGCTCAAATTTAGAGTAATTCTTTGTGAGAAATATGCGAAATTTCTAGCTTTCGCTTGCAGAAACGCCCGAGATTTTTTGATCGAAAATTGGCAAAGATGTAAGGCTTTTTTCTCAAATTTTGGCATGAAAAATCTCGTGGTTATTTCTACTGTAGAAAGTAATTTTTCCTCAAGAAATCATTTGTTTCCTTGCGAAACTGGCAAATTTATGGCGAAAAAGTCTTTTTCCTCTTACCTCTTTGGCCGCTCTCCAAATTTAGCGTGCTCTCTCGCCCGAAAAGATCGTTCAATATAAAGATGGTCACCGAAGTTCTCGACTTTTATTTTTTCTGTTGCGTCGAATTTCAGTGCAAAAATGGGTCGACATTGATTTTGAAAAATCAGTGCCAAAAAAGCCCGGAAATTTGGAAATAACCAGTGCAGATTTTGGGAAATCGCTGCAGAACGAAAATTAAAGTGTGCACTGATTTTTCAAAATCAATGTCGGCCCATTTTTGCGCCGAAATTCGACTCAACAGCAAAAATAAAAGTCGATAACTTCTGTGACCACCTTTATATCTTGGCTGCCTCTACAAAGCGCGAGCTAAAACTTTCAAGAATTGATATGTGGCCTATCTCTGACATGTGTACAAAATTCAAAAAAAAAATTGCGTTGCTCTTGTGGTACTCTCTTGCCCTCAATTTTCCTATTTTTGCCAATAAAAAATGTCATGGTGAGAACGAAACCCGCATGTTTTTTCATCAAAATTTGATGATTTTCCAAGAGCCTTCTATGTATTTTTGTATGTCTATATCACCAAATTTTTTATTGCGATGCGATATCCATCATTATTTCAGCTGATTTTTTTTCCGTTTTTTTGCACTTCTTCTTTTACTATAACAAACCTATGAATCTATTTACAGGGGAAGCACTCCAAGTGCGACGCTCAGATTTTGATGAAACTTGGCACAAATTTAGAATAATTTTTTCTAAGATATATACGAGAATCCTAGCTCGCGCTTTGCAGAAACAACCGAGATTTTTAGATCGAAAGTCGGCCAAAATTTAGAACTTTTTGCCGAATTTCGGCACGAAAAGTTTAGTGCTTATTTCTACCGTAAAGGATAATTTTTCTTCAAAAAATCAAATTTTTCCGCAGGAAAATGCCAAAGTTATGGCCAAAATGCGCTTTTCTCTCTGACCGCTCTCCACGTTTAGCGTGCTCTCTCGGTGGCAAAAATTGTTCGATATCTCGGCGGCGCCGGCAAAGCGCGAGCTAAAACTTTCAGGAATTGATATTTGGTCCATACCCGACTTGTGTGCAAAATTTAAAGAAAATCTAAGCGTCGCACTTGGAGTACTTCCCCTGTTAATAAAGTTAACCAAAACGGGTTCCATTGGTTTAGGCATCGTTTAAACTTGTCAATAGTCAAACCCACACAGTCTTACACTTCCTCGTTCGATAATGGGATGAGCAATTTTACCGTCCTTTCGTCCAATGACCTTCAACCCTACAAACCCTACCGTATGTTTGTTTGTAAAAACAGATGACTCATACTTTTTAAAAACCGGGTTTTCAAGCTTTTTTTACATTCATTTTACTGTGATATCCCTGTACAATGAACTCCAATAAAAAAATGAAAAAAACCTCTTTATAACGGACAATTTCAAAGCCAAAAACTTGCCTCCTTTTAGGCCTCTTTATGACAAAAAAACTTATATCAATCTGTCTGGAAAATAATGTGGATTTACCGCTCCTTGAAATGTTTTTTGCTTCTGACGATATTTATATCCTTCTCTTGACATTCACAATAACCCAGTAGTCTTGAAAAAAGCTAGAATAGAACAATAGTTTGAAAAAGAAAATAAAGGTTGACTGTTCTTTTGTATTATTTTGAAATGTTTGGTACAACATCATCCTCTTCTCAATTTTTTTCAACGAAACTTCTCATCTTTTTTTCGGTTTGTTTTCTATGCCTTTTCTGTAGAGAGGTTCCTGTAGCCTAAACAGGAACCTCTGTACAGCAAACGAGGATAAAAAGACCTATATATGTAAACCTGTTATAGAGGGTTTAATGATGACAAATGTAGAGGTACCAGTGGAAGTATTGAAGGACCAAAAACATGAGAAACTTTTTGATAAAGTTTTTTGTATACCAGAGATTGCCACGGCTCCGGAGCTGGCTCTTGGCTCCGGCTCCGAGCCGGAAGCCAGAGCCGGAGCCGGAAATTTTGGGTGCGGTTCCGGCTCCCGAGCTCAAAGTCGAAGCCAGGCTCCTCAGCGTCCAGAAAAGTAAAAATTTCATAAACCAAATTGCTTGAAAAATACTGGAAATGAGGTGCTGCATACGAATTGGCTGCAAAAACGTTGGGTGAATGATATCCGGCACTAATAGCTTTTATTTTTGGAAAGATATTTCAAAAAAATTTTTTGCACGGGAGCCGGGATTCGGAGCCGGAGATCTTTTTGAATTTTTTATGGGAGCCGGAGCTGCAAATTTGGCCTTGGCTCCGGCTCTGGGAGCTAAGAGCCGGAGCCAAGATTTTGACCGTGGCAATCTCTCGCCGCAATCATTCCAGCGACTTTGCGAACGGACTAGTACAAAAAATTTGATCTGCAATGTCTTCAGTGGAGTATATAGAGCAAAGTGATGGTAAAATACGAAGCAACGGCCAGCTTTTGTTTTGGTTTCAAAAAATTTTGGAATCTCAAATTTTTGATTTCAAGATTGTACAAAGAATTGAAAAGGAAAAAAATATTTGTTATAGAAAGCTTTTGTAACTTTCTATAACAAAAACAGGTTGTTATAGACAGTTTTTGCAGCAGGGTTGTTGTAGAGAAGCATTGGTCTTTTTGCAATCAAAGTGGTCTTAAAATACGCCATTTGTTAAATAATTGCAATCTATTAACTGTATTGAGATTATTTGTCGCTAAAAAAGCAAAAAAAAAACCTTTTTTTGCCAAAGAATTCACAGGAAAAAAGAGAAAAAAGTGTTTTTTTTTGAGGAGTCACCCACGGGCGGAATGCGCTCTCGCTTTTTGCGCCGCCACTTCAGGGACGACCATTATTACGGGGGAACGGATTTGGGCAGCATTCGTCGTTTCACGCCTTATATTACTGGAGAATTCGGAAATTTGCCGATAATTCTTAGTTTTGCGGCTAATTTTCGAAAATATAGTCATCATTTTTTGACAAAAATTTATTGTCCGATATTGTCTTCAAATTTGACGTGCTAACTCTAGATAGGCCTTGTAACAAGTGTTGAAAATTTTAGCGCTCAATTTGCAAGGGGAGCCGAGATATTAGAGGTTCTTTTTTGCGAGAGAGCATGCGAAATGAGGAGAGTCGGCCAGAGAAAGGCTTTGTTTCGCTTGTAACTCGCTGAATTTTTTGTAAAGATAATTTATTTTTCGTAGAAAAATTATATTCTCCAGGCATAATCGATAACAAAATTTTCAAACCAAAAATCGAAAAAAATTTCGAATTTTTTGACTTTTTTCTCTCTAAAATCTCAATTTTTTTCACAAAGAATTAGCTAAAAGTCCTGCAAATGTCATAAAAATCCTATTATTGCCATGCGTTTTTATTTTTACAATATTCTTGTCATGAATTTTATAAAAATTGTTATTTTTCCCCAAATATTCAGCCAACATGTATGTGCATATTATTCATGATGACGTCATTCTTTCTTTTTCCCCATTTTTTTACCATCTTTGTCGGCTTTGAGAAACGAAGGTTTAAAAAAACTTGTGAATATTTTTTTCATTTTTTTCTGCATAATCAACGAGGTTTTTTTTATTTTTTTTGATTAGCAAGAGAAATACTACCACAAGTGCGAAGCTCTGATTTTCTTTAAATTTTGCACATTCATTTGACATTAGCCACACATCAATTCCTGAAAGTTTTAGCTCGAGTTTTCCAGCGGAAGCCGAGATATTCAACAATTTTTGCGGACGAGAGAGTACACGAAACGTGGAGAGCGGTCAGAGAAAAAAATACTTTTTTTGGTCATATCTTTGCCAGTTTGGCGGGGAAAAAATTGATTTTTTGTGGAAATACTCCTCTCTACGGTAGAAATAGGCCCGTTGCTTTTCATGCCAAAATTCGAAAAAAAATTTAGCATTTTTTCCAACTTTCGACCTCAAAATCTCGGTTATTTCTGCAAAGCGCGAGCTAGAAGTCTTGAATATTTCTTAGAAAAAATTATCCTTAACCTATGCCAAGTTTCATCAAAATCTGAGCGTCGCAATTATGGAAACTTCCCTTAAAAATCAATTTTTTGCGCGGTTTTTTGATTATTTTTCTTTTATTTTCGCTTTTCTTGATCTAAACTTTCGAATATTTTCAGGTATTCATGTGAATACATGTACATAAAAAACTTGGCCCCAGCAGAGTTGTAAAAAGTTTTTTTGTTTTTCGTTTTTAACCAACGCCGCCCATTAGTAGAGGAGAGAGGAGTCGACAGTTAGGCCCCTGTTTCGTAAACCCGCTTCTTCATATATGCCACGTTTACATTAGCCCGAGAAACCCCGACCGTAGAACAGAGTGTAGACAGAGTGTGGAGACGCTAGAGAGAGCGCGTAGAACACATCGCTAGAACCACAACCACAACACAACATGAAGCCCCAACGGAACACTGCCGACGCCGGCGCCGCCGCCGCCGCCGCTCCCGCCCCCAACTCCAGCGGCGGCACGGCGAACAGCAGCAGCAGCAACAGCGGTGGCGGCGGGCCCAAGAACGGGCAGAACGGCGGCGCGGGCGCCCCCAAGCCGGATCTGTCGCCCGAGCCCAACTTTGATGCGGATGACGGGCAGAACCCGGGGTAAGGACTTGGTCGTAGCTTCCATGGTGATGCTTTGTAGAGGTGCTTGGAGTTTTATGAAGGTTTACTTGCCCTGAGAAGCCTATTTTCGCCAATAACTACAGTGACGGACCTGATTCAGTGGCAAAAAACGTACCAATTTGCATCCGGGAAGAATCAAAAAATGTAGCAAAATACCTCCCTCCCCAATTGAAAAAACTCCGATTTCAAACGCACGCCCCCTCTCCTCGTAAGAAAAATGGCGCCATCTTCAAAACAGAGTTTTTTTCACTTGGAAAAGTAGTTTTATTTTGCTACATTTTTTATACTTCCCGGATGCAAATTGATACGTTTGTTGCCATTGGATCAGGTCCGTAGCTGTGAAAGAAAACAGTAAGCCAGAATTTGTGAAAAACACATTTTTTGAGCCCTGAAAATGTGAACAATCAAAGCTCTGTCAAAGGAATCTTTGCCTTCAAATCAAGGCAGTTTCAACTAACAAGGGAAATGCCCCAGATTTTCGTTAAATTTTGCACAAACGTCGGGCTTAGGCCATGTATCAACAGGTGAAAACTTTAGCTCGCGCTTTACGAAAAAATAGGCGTCAAACTTTTCAGGCAAAAATTCGCAAAAAAATGTTACATTTTTTTTCAACTTTCGATTTAAAAATCTCGGTCGTTTCTGCAAAGCGCAAGCTAGGGTTCTTGCATATGCTTTAGAAAACATTATTCGAAATTTGTGCCAAGTTTCATCAAAATTTAAGCGTTGCAATTACACCACTTGTTCTGCAAACAAGACCATTTTCCGTTTTGCTTTCATATTTACAATAATTCCAGTGCTCTTTCAGAAAGATGTTCATTGGTGGTCTGAGTTGGCACACTTCGGCCGACACGCTCCGCGATTACTTCAGTCGTTTCGGGGAGGTGAACGAATGTATGGTCATGAGAGATCCGGCCACCAAACGGGCACGGTATGAACTTTTGCAGCGACTTTTTATGTCCTCAAATTTCAATTTTTACTTACCCAATTACTGTATCGAAACAAGCTTTGATTTTTCAGCGGCTTCGGCTTTATAACCTTTGCCGACCCCACCGCCGTTGACAAGGTGTTGACCGAGACCGAGCACGAGCTGGATGGGAAGAAGATCGACCCGAAAGTCGCGTTCCCGAAGAAGACCCAGCCCAAGCTGGTGGTGCGCACACGCAAAGTCTTCATCGGTGGGTTGTCGCCCACCTCGACGCTGGACGACCTGAAGAATTATTTCCAACAGTACGGGAAAATTGAGGATGCGATGCTCATGTTCGACAAGGTCACTCAACGGCATCGAGGTGAGGGGTTTGAGGGTTTTTATTTAATGTTAAAAACATACGAAATGCAACGGTTGATGTTGCATTTGTGCATAGGAAAGTACTCCAAGTGCGACGCTCAGATTTTAAAAAAAATTTGCACACATTTCGGGCATGGAACAGATATCAATTCCTGAAAACTTTAGCTCGCGCGTTACTGCGACTACCGAGAAATCCAAGGATCTTTTTCGGCCGAGAGAGTACGCGAAGCGCGGAGAGCGGTCAGAGAAAAACCCCTTTTTGACCGTATCTTTGCCAATTTTATGCGGAAAAAGTTGATTTTTTGTGGCAAAATTACTCTCTACAGTAGAAATGGCTGCGAAATTTTTCATGTCAAAATTCACAAAAAAAGTGTCACATTTTTGTCAACTTTCGACCTAAAAATCTCGGTCCTTTTTGCAAAGCGCAAGCTAAAAGTCTCGCATGTGTCTTAGAAAAAAATATTCTAAATTTGTGCCAATTCATCAAAATCTGCGTCGCAGTTGCAGTACTTTCTCGGCGAAGTAAGACTTGACCCATTGAGTCAAGTGTTTCTCTGAGAGCGGAAAATTGCCTTAAACTTGCAGATTTTTGCAGGACAGTATTTTTAGAGTAAAATATGCGTTTTTTTAAAAATGGGTCAACTCTCTCTTCATGAGGTGTCAACTGTTCTCTTTTGCCTAAAAACCGCAGCGGAAGCATTTTTAGGAATTTACCGAGAATTTAGAAGCATTTTTCTGATTCCAGGCTTCGGCTTTGTCACGTTTGACGATGATGAGGTGTCGGACAAGGTGTGCGAGATTCACTTCCACGAGATCAACGGGAAAATGGTCGAGTGTAAGAAGGCGCAGCCCAAGGAGGTCATGTTGCCGGTGCAGCTGAGTAAAAGTCGGGCGGCTGCCGCCAGAAATTTGTATGGATTGTCGCCGGAGCAGTTGTTGGGTGAGTTTTTCAGTAATTTTACATTTTTTATATTTATTATATTATCCATGATATCAAGAGAATAATTTTGATGATTTTCAGCGTATGCTTCGTATGTTCCGAGAATGCCTCCGTACGCCGGAGGAAATCTACTGTATCCGGGATGTAAGAAAAACATTTTTATTAACTTTTTTTTATTTTTTTATCGGGATTTTACACTCTTTTTAAAAGCTCGAATCTAATGTCTAGTACAATATAATTTTTTTCAGTATTCAACGGCTTCTCTCAATCGTTCGGAATGTCCCCGTCTGGCCGTAGTTCCGTGACCAATGCCGGCGCTTCCAGCTCGGGAATCGTCACTCCGCGCGATCTGGCCGCAGCGCAAGCGGCCGCGCAACAGCACGCCTACGAAGCGGCCGTCGCCTACATGGGTGGGGGCGGCCAAATGGGCCACAACGACTACTACCACAACCCGCAGCAATCCATCCCGAACTCGTTCAACAAAATGTGATCCGTCTTCTTCTTCGAACGTTCCATTAGTGTCAAGTGTTTCTCTTGCTGAATTTAGGTCTTACGAAACAAAAAACAACAACTCCCCCGGTTAGCGAAAAGAGAATGTGTAAAACAGAGCGCGTAGTGTCTAGTTATCAGAAATCGGTTTTAATTCTGTCGACGAGGTGGTTTTTAAGGTCGAGGGGAACAGTTGACTCGGTTTGCGAAGTGTTTTTTCATTGAGGGGAAGACTTGACTCGTTAAAAAAATTATCCGATATTTCTTTTTTTAGACACTACTGAATCGTTTTTAACGTGTCATGATCATTTTCAAGCCATTTTCTGCGAAAGTAACACTTGACCCATTGGGTCAAGTGTTTCTCCCAATGCGAAAAACTGCCCTAAACTTGCAAATTTTTACACAAAAAGTATTTTCACAGTGAAATACACGATTTGAAAAAAGAGTCAACTCTCCCTTCACGCCGCGTCAACTGTTCTCTTCTGCCCAAAATTACGGGAAACTCTAAAAAAAATACAATAAACCCCCCTATGGAAACCCGAGTAAACAACCGGCAACATCCCCTATGCTACCCGAGTTTTTGAAGCAACGTCTCACTAAAAGCAAAACATCAATGTCTTCGAACAACTAGGAAACTCACTCGAGGCCCTGTCCTCGAGCGGAAATTAGCTGAGAGAATTTTTCTAGACCCAAAACTTAGTCCCCAATTTTCCGCGAAAAATTCGCTCGTAGTTCAACGTAGTTCTTGTGTTAAGAATAGCTAGGGTAAAACACGCGAAAGAGAGTATTTAAGACTTGTTCTAATAATAGGATTTTTTAACGTTATTTCGAACACACTACCCCCCACAAAACTCATACTCACTTGACCTTAAGCACGTACTGAAAAATATTCAAAGATCCCAAAGTTGATTGTAACCGTCTTGAGTTATTTTTCGAAACGTCTATTCTTTTATTTTTTAAATTTTTTATTTGATTTCCTTTTCGATTTCGATCCTGAAATGATAAACGAGTATGTAAACCAGTTAATCGGAGTATTCGAAAAATTGGGGTCTTAATATACAATTTTCATACAGTAGAATGTATTATAAGAACAACTAACTATTATACAAGGGAACCTCTCAATAACGGACAATTGGAGATCATAATCAACCTTACTAGGGAAGTGTTTTATTAGGGTGAAACAAAAGTTTTTTCGTTTTTTAAGGTATCTTTTTGTCCGATTGTTTTTGTACGAAATAAAGACTTTTAGATGAATGTATTATATATATATATATTTTAAAGGTCTTGAACTGCTTTATCATAATATATATTAAACTTTTAATTGGTTTTTTATTTAAAATCTTTTAACCTGTAGAAAAATTATGTTTAAAGTTTTAATTTAAAAAACGAAAAGACTTTTGGTTCACCCTAATAGGTTGTCCAGAAAATTCGTTCGTTTTTTCATTGCTTTGGAATTGACTGTTTGGAATTGATAAGTGGCCTGCACCAAGCGTATAAAATAGTCAATTTGTTGGTAAAACCGGGTAAAATACGCCATATGAACATACGATTTACTTACAGAGGAAGTACTCCAAGTGCGACGCTCAGATTTTGATGAAACTTGGCACAAATTTAGAACAATTTTTTCTAAGATATATGCGAGAATCCTAGTTCACGCTTTGCAGAAACAACCGAGATTTTTAGACCGAAAGTCGGCCAAAATTTAGGACTTTTTGCCGAATTTCGGCACGAAAAGTTTCATGCCTATTTCTACCGTAAAGGATAATGTTTCTACAAAAAAGCAAAATTTTCCGCACGAAACTGCCAAAGTTATGGTCAAAAAAGCGCTTTTCTCTCTGACCGCTCTCCGCGTCTAGCGTGCTCTCTCGGCGACAAAAATCGGCGGCGTCCGCAAAGCGCGAGCTAAAACTTTCAGGAATTGATATTTAGTCCATACCCGACGTGTGTGCAAAATTTTGAGAAAACCTGAGCGTCGCACTTGGAGTACTTCCGCTGTAAGCAAAAAACGAACGGACTTTCTGGACGACCTAATACAATACACACAGGCCCTCACAAATCAACCGCTAATAATGCTTCAACCTGAGACATTCTGCAGAAACTGAAAGCAGTTTCTAATACTACTTTTCAAAGGCTTTCGAATGGTATACAACACTTGCTATTTGGTGACGGTCAGTTTGTGCACTTCCCTAAAAAAGCCATGAAATTCACAAGGGAAGTACCCCAAGCGCAATGCTCAGATTTTCTTTAAACTTTTCGTACATGTCTGGCATAGGTTAGATATCAATTCTTGAAAATTTTAGCTCAAGATTTGCAGGGGCAGCCGAGGTATTCAACGATCTGGATGACCGAGGGAGACTCCAAGCGAAAAATAATGAGTGGTTCTTCAGAACACAAGCTATTTTTTTTTGGAATGTCTGATTATATACGCTATATGTATACTAGCATATGTAAACAGATTATACGTATAATATTAGTTTGATATTGTTGTGTGTTTTCTGATATATTGCTGTGATGTGCCATACAATGCTATAAATTGTTGATATTTGAGGAGGTTTTGAAGTTTCCAGGTGGACTTTGCAGGGCGCGGCAATTTTTCGGCCGGATTTTAATTGGCCATAACTTTTTTAGTTTTTGGGCAAATGTTAAAATTCTTTTTTTCCCTGAATCCATAGACAACCTGATTTTGTTTAATACCAAATATGTTATACCCGTTTATTATACTACAGTAAGAACTCAAGACAAAGAAAAAGCTCTAATTTTCATAGCTGACAATGGAATTAACCCTAGTAGCTGGCTATATCCTCGCTAGTTTTGTATGGCACGAACAGGCATGAAACTTTTTACGACAAAATTCGTAAAAAAAGTCTTTTTTTCTGGCGATTTTCACACACGCCGAAAAATCAGAGAAAACGACCGAAAGGCCAATAACTATGAACTAGGTCCCTGTATATATAACATATTTGGTATTAAACAAAATGGGGTTGTCTGAGGATTCAGGAAAAAAAGAATTTTAACATTCGGATAAAAACTAAAAAAGTTATAGCCAATTCAAATCCGGCCGAAAAATTGCCGCACCCTGTATTTGATTTTATGGTTGTTTTATTGATTTTTGGCTTTTTCAAAGTGAATTTCAAATAGCATTTTTGAAGATATCTTATAAATACATGTTTTTGACATAAGCTAAACAAAATTTCAACAAAAAAACCTAATTTTCCAAGCGAAAATAACAACCTAATAAGCAAAAAAAGCAAAAACACTCTTTTTTCTCCCCGTCTCTCCTTTCCCCCCCCACTCTCTCGTCCAAAATCTCTCTAAATATCTGGGCTGTGCTTGTGAATTCAGCTAAACTTGTTAGTATAATTGATTTGCACTCATACAGCCATTTTCCAACCACTTGGCCCAACTTTTTGAACCGCTTTTTGCGGCGCGTTTTCAATTTGGAATTCCAATTTTCCCTGGGCCGTCTCATCGGGCCGCTCTTTCGTCTTTTTGCAAACGCGAAAAAGTGGAGGGAATTTGGCCGTCCCGACTCTCGCTCATAACCCACTTTTCATTTTTCGCGGCCCAACGGCCCTTTTCTTCTCCTCTTTTTTCGAGATTTTTCCCTGGGAAAGCCGAGTTTTTCGACGATTTTGAGTGTTTTTAAACTTTTGCTTTTAGGCGATTTGTCAGTTTTTTAAATGTCATCGATTTTTTAGGCCGAAAAAGTTTTAGTTTTTGTTTGGAAAGTGGATTTTTTTGGATTTTTTTAACAAGGAAAGTACTTTTATGGGGCCCCTATTCTTAGACGGCACATATCTCAAAAAATACGTCAAATGATGTAGATTAAGAATGTGTAAAAATTAGCTGTCCAACTTTGGGTTTTAATGGTGAAAAATCAATCGGAAGCTGACTTATAGTCGTATTAATAAACTCTTTTCTGCTTAATTTCTCACAGATTTACAAATTTCTTTTTAGCTTAAAATTGTGTGCCTTGAGTTTTTAAGGCATAATAAATGAGTCTCGGTGCAAAAAATTATTTTTCAGACCTTAAAATTAAAAAAAATTGATTTGGGGCGAAAGGGAATCGAACCTGCGCGGGTCCGGCCTCTTGATTTCAAGGCTACGGCACTATCCACTCGGCCACACTGCTCTTTCTCTCTCTCTTGATTGGGAAGACCAATCGCGCTTTTTATCGTTTGGCTTTTTTGCAATGCCTGTGCCTTTTGTAGGGGAATTTACAAGGGAACCCCAAGTGCGACGTTCTGATTTTCTTTAAATTTTGCACACACATCGGGCATGAACTAAATATCAATTTCTCAAAGTTTTAGCTAGCGCTTTGCAAGCGCCGCCGAGATATTAAACGATCTTTGCCGCCGCGAGAGTACGCAAAACGCGGAGAGCGGTAGGAAAAACACTTTTTGTCCATAACTTTGCTTGTTTCTCGCGGAAAAAATTGATTTTTTGTGTAAACATTACCCTCTATGGTAGAAATCGATATGAATTTTTTCGTGCCAGAATTCGGCAAAAAGTCTTAAATTTTGGCCGACTTTCGATCAGAGATTGCCACGGTCAAAATTTCGGCTCCGGCTCCGGCTCTTAGCTCCCAGAGAAGGAGCCGAGGCCAAATTTGCAGCTCCGGCTCCGGCTCTTGGCTGCGTGCAAAATTAAAAAAGGCCTCCGGCTCCGGCTCCCGGCTCCCATACAAAATTTAAAAAGGTCTCCGGCTCCGAATCCCGGCTCCCGTGCAAAAAAAATTAAAAAAAATGATTTTCCAAAAATAAAAGTTATCAGTGCCAGAGATCATACACCCAACGTTTTTTCAGCCAAGTCGTATGCGACACATCCTTCCCAGCATTTTTCAAGCAATTAGTTTAACAAAATCATATTTTTGTTTACTTTTCTGAACGCTGAGAAGCCTGGCTCCGACTTTGGGCTCGGGAGCCGGAGCCGCACCCAAAATTTCCGGCTCCGGAGCCGTGGCAATCTCTGCTTTCGATCTAACAAGGGAATGGACTTTATGTGTAAATCGATTTTGGCTTGGGACCTAGTCAGATCGAAAGGTGTGTGGTAGTCGATTATTCACTTGGGGGGAAATCTCTGCGCGGGGCTTCAAAGCCGAGAAAATCGGCTTCAAAGTTTGGACGAAAGTCAAAGGATAAGGATCCCGGAAAAGGAGCGATAAAAAGTGTGAAGCAGTGGCCGAGTGGTCAGTGCGCTCGCTTTTTGCGCAAAAGGTCGCAAGTTCGAATCTGCTTCCATTCATAACTTTTTTAGACAAAAACTTCTATTAATTTTTTTCCCTGAACTCGATTATCGATACAAGAAGTATATTTTAAACGGAACTTTTCCATTTTCAACGGCTTCGCAGCTTCCCTTTACAGTTTTAGAGCGCAGGGCACACCATCAACCTGATGTATTCAAAAACAACTTTCCATTATGTTAACTTTTTTATCTATACCCCTTTTTTAAATGTACAGCCGGATTAGCACGAAGAAAGCAAAAGTAAAAACGATAAATGATGACTTGGGCTTGGAAAGATTCGAACCTGCAACCTTTTGCGCAAAAAGCGAGCGCACTGACCACTCGGCCACTGCTTCACACTTTTTATCGCTCCTTTTCCGGGATCCTTATCCTTTGACTTTCGTCCAAACTTTGAAGCCGATTTTCTCGGCTTTGAAGCCCCGCGCAGAGATTTCCCCCCAAGTGAATAATCGACTACCACACACCTTTCGATCTGACTAGGTCCCAAGCCAAAATCGATTTACACATAAAGTCCATTCCCTTGTAAAAATCTCGGTTGTTTCTGCGAAGCGCAGGCTAGGATTCTCGCATGTGTATATCTTAGAAAAAGTTAAATATTCTAAATTTGTGCCAAGTTTCATCCAAATCTGAGCGTCGCACTTGGGGTACTTCCCTTGTTCGCCAGTTTATAGGGCATTTTCGACCGTTAAACCCAAAATTGGGCAACAAATCTCTATATATTCTTGATCAGCATGATTTTTCAGATTTTCTGAGTTATGTTCCATAAAAGTACTTCTCTTGTCAAATTTATAGCATTTTTTTGCTAAAAAATCCTTTTTTTCATTATTGTTTTTCCCCCAAAAAAATCTCGTTTTTCATCCCCAAAAATTTGCAGAAATAGCCGAGCCAATTCCCTTCCTCCTCCACGAACACATGGCCAGCACTCGGCCAGTGATGTGGCCGCCCGACCGCGGGTTCCGGCGCGAGCCCCCCACAAATTTGGATGCTGAAAATATCAGCGCCTTCGAGAAGATTATCCGCTACGCCGAGAAGGACGACCTACTGCTGTATTTGACCGCACTATTTGGGGTCTTCATGCCGGCGGTCATGTATTTTGTCTACAAAACGGCGCATGCCAAGTATGAGGCGTACGCTAAGGTGAGTGAAATGGGATTTTGGGTGGTTTGGAAGTTAAAAAAAATAGAAATTGAAAAAAAATTTTTTGTTTTTTTTAATTTTTTAATTGAAAAAATTGAAAATTGGAAAAAATAAAAAAGTTGAAACCATCTTTTTAAAAATTTTTTCGATTTTTTTGAATTAAAAAAATTGGAAAAAATATAAAATATTTTTTTTACTAGTTCTTTTATAAATTTTTTAAAAGTTTTTTTTTTATTTTTAATTAAAAAACTCGTAAAAAATCCAGAAAAGTCTCAAAAAATGTTTTTTTTTCCAAATTTTAATTCAAAAAAATCATAAAAAATCCAGAAAAATCTCAAAAAAATATTTTTGTTTTTTTTTCAATTTTCTCAAACCAAATTTTTTAAAATTTTTTCAGAAAAAACGCGAAGAAAAACGAAAAGAAAAAGCCCGACAACGAGCGCTGACATTGTTCTACATGCCGGTCTCGGCGCAATTCAAAAAATTGGCATTTGAATTGGCCGAAAAGTTGGAATCGTTTGATCCAGTGGTGGTCTCGCTGATTCCCGGCAATCTGAAAATGTTTCGGGGCTACAAGGTAAGAGTCTTTGATTTTATCAAGACAAATCCACATTATTTTCCCGATAGTCTGACATCAGTTTGCCGGGAAAATGCGCATTCTGTTGTAATTTTTTTCCATAGTATCTGTGGGACTATTCGCTTTTATATAGCTTCTTTTTTGCAGGGATCTCCTAGCTTTTTATACAGGGGCTTTTTATACACCTGATCTAGTGGCAAAAAGCGTACCATTTTGCATCCGGGAAGTATCAAAAATGTGGCAAAATGCTTCCATCTCCAAGTGAAAAAACTTCGTTTTGAAGGGCCCCTTTCCTCACAAAAAGAGCTGGCGCGCTTTTGAAATCTGAGTCCGTCTCTTCATTTTGCATGCTCTCTCGACGTTATATTTCTCGACGTTATAAAAAAGCATGTTTGACTTTGAAGGGTCATAACTCGACGTAGGATTGATCATTTTTAATGATCTTTTTTTTAAACAAAATGGCAACTACTAAGGAATAAAATGAGCTATTGCTCATTAAAAATGAGCAATTCTATAAAAAGTTTTAAGCATTTTACATCCGCGAACTTAGCTGAACCGCCCTGTATGAGTATCTATGCGAAATTTAAAGAAGATTGAAAAGTTTTTCTTGAAGAAATTTCACTTTCAAGACATGATGAGCCCTCTACATATCCGTCTGTCGGGAAAATAATGAGCTTTCCGTCACATCGAAAATCGCATCACCGTCGAAAAAATGAAATTGTTTCGCAGAAAAATCAATTTTTTTCAATTCAGCGATGCGTTCGGCGCAACGACATAGTGCTCATTAGTTTCCCGACAAACTTATAGTAGCAAATCAGTCAAAAATTCACAATTTTCCAATTCCAGGGAGTGATGATATTCCTCATACCGGACCTCGAACTTCACGAGCTCAGCGAAGAAGCGGGCGGCTGGTTCTTGGACTGGCTCCAGGAGATGCGTTTCGAGGCCAGACAAAAGGATCTCTTGGCCAACCTGCGATTTGCCACGTTGGCGATTGATTTGGAAAATGAGAGAGAAGAGCCGCTGGGAAAGGCAAGTGATGACTTTAAAACGTTTTTATTCGGTTTTTAGATCACAAACAACCTGATTAAACGGCTCACCGCGCTAAGTGGAAGGCAGCTGCATGCGCCGACTTTTATGGGGAAAAATGAGAAAATGGGTAAGATTTTTCTTTTCAGTCGTAAAGGACCAAAAAAATGATTACTTGAAGACAAAGTTTCGTTGTATGGAAACTCATTTTGGGCTAAAATTTGCTCTTGAACCCCTGAAACGTCTGTCGGGAAAATAATGTGGATTTGTCGCAGAAAAGTGTATTCACAATATTTTCCCGGCACACAAATATTTGGACAACGCAATGGCTGCCCCTAAATTAATACCATTCTGCCCCCAAATTCTCCCATTCTGCCCCCAAACACATGCCCCCAAATAGGAGGTTGGAAGGTGCCCCCAAAATATTCCCATTATGCCCCCAAATACAAAAATTAGTGTAGGGTCATATTTTATGGTGGTAGTCACACCTCGGGCTAAAAAATTTGAAAATTCGTAGTGGCGATTGCGTAATAAGTAAAAATTCTAAGATTATGACTAAATGTCGGATATAGGGGTAATCGATGGCGCTGATTTCGAAAATGATATTCATTTTTAATGATTCTTACGATTTCGCTTAAGCAGTACTGTAAAGTAGTAATTTTTGAAAATTTTAGATGAGATGTCGAGTTATAGGTAATCGAGGATGCTGATTTTGAAAATGATATTTATTTTTCATGATTATAACTTTTTTCTTAAGTAGTAGTGTAAAGTAGTAATTTTTGAGATTCCTGATGAGTTGTGCCGTAAAGTTGTGATTTCTTTGTTTTTATTTTATTTTTTTGATGAATAGTTAGTTAAGTGCAAGGTATGTGTTATTGTTGGTTCACAAACTGTGTTCATCTTCTGTAGTTTTTATTCACCTCCAATCTGTTGGCAGAAGAATTTTTGCTCAGAATTTTCTGTCAAACCTGGCATAGCGGCAGGCTATCCCAAGCCAAACAATTTTATAGCAGAAAAATTTCTGTCAAACCCCGCCCATTTTGGCGCGCTCGATGAAGGGCATAAGCAATACCGTTGATGACTCGAAGTAATAATCGCATGAAAAACAATCCTGTTGGATAATTGTTCAGTCTAGCATTTATCACAATAAAAATTTGAAATATTTTACAAATATTGTCAACTCCTTCAGGTCCGTGTGATATCACCTAAAACAATACCTGCCTAATTGCAATAAATCGATAGAGAAAACGTTTAAACAGCAAATAACTTGCGTAAATTTAACCTATTCTTGTACGGACAACGTCACAAAATAGTACGATTGTTTTTTTTTCTTTTTATGACAAAAAATTTTAAAAATGTAACTATGTTGTCTAAAGAGAAGTATTTCTAAATTTCAAAAAGTTTTTTTTTGCTAATTTAAGTTCTTTGAGCAACATCGTGTTATTATCCAATAGGATTGTTTTTCATGCGATTATTACTTCGAGTCATCAACGGTATTGCTTCTGCCCTTCATCGAGCGCGCCAAAATGGGCGGGGTTTGACAGAAATTTTTCTGCTATAAAATTGTTTGGCTTGGGATAGCCTGCCGCTATGCCAGGTTTGACAGAAAATTCTGAGCAAAAATTCTTCTGCCAACAGATTGGAGGTGAATAAAAACTACAGAAGAACACAGTTTTTGAATCAACAATAACACATGCCTTGCACTTAATTAACTATTCATCAAAAAAATAAAATAAAAACAAAGAAATCACAACTTTACGGCACAACTCATCAGGAATCTTATTCTGGAATCAGCACCCATAAACCCAACCAATTCAAAAAATCTCAAAAATTACTACTTTACACTACTACTTAAGAAAAAAGTTATAATCATGAAAAATGATTATCATTTTCAAAATCGGCATCCTCGATTACCTATAACTCGACATCTCATCTAAAATTTTCAAATATTACTACTTTACAGTACTACTTAAGCAAAATCGTAAGAATCATTAAAAATGAATATCATTTTCGAAATCAGCGCCATCGATTACCCCTATATCCGACATTTAGTCATAATCTTAGAATTTTTACTTATTACGCAATCGCCACTACGAATTTTCAAATTTTTTAGCCCGAGGTGTGACTACCACCATAAAATATAACCCTACACTAATTTTTGTATTTGGGGGCATAATGGGAATATTTTGGGGGCACCTTCCAACCTCCTATTTGGGGGCATGTGTTTGGGGGCAGAATGGGAGAATTTGGGGGCAGAATGGTATTAATTTAGGGGCAGCTTCACAATTATCCCAAATATTTCCTTTGAGAGAAACACATGACTCATTTAGGAAGACTTGGCTCTATGGGTCAGGTGTTCCTCTCGTGTATTGTTGAACAGCAATGACATTTTTAATACATCAATATTTGCCATAAAAGGGTCTGGTTGTAGCGAGATTGATTTTGGCCGAGAATGGGCTCGTTGCCCGAACCCTGTTTGGTTCGGACCGATTCTCCGCATTTTGTGTTCTTTCTTACCAAAAATACCGAAGAATATATTGCCTACCGTTGAGAAGCGAAGGCCAAACGTATCAAGGGCTTATTTATGGCCAGTTCAAAAATAATATTCAAGAATTTTAAAAAGCGAAATGATACTCCTTGAAACACTTGCCTTTTTACCTAATCCTCCAATCTTTTCAGATATCGAATTCCAGTTGGCGGAGAACGCTCAAATGTTCAGCGAAGCGATCCGAGAGTCCTGGGAAGATGCTGAAACCGATGAGGACCTGCTCAGTACCGAAGAGGAATCCGACTTTGATATTGATGATCTGGAAGAGGAATTGGGCCCAGAGGAAGAGCCCAAAAAGGACAAATGATCTCTTCTAACGCTAGTGGAGACTTTTTACAACGAATTACAAGAGGGCGAAAAAGAAATTTTTTAAAATAGAGGAGTTTTTGGTCTTAATTCAGGCCACAAAAAACCTCGCGATTCGTTGTCGAGAGGTTCCACCATAAATAATATTATAATAATGTTCGATTATGTAGTTTCTTATCACGGGTTTATAATAAACTTTTGAAGTTTGCGGAAAATATTGTGTTTTTAAAATACGATAGGGTATAATTTCAATTTCAATTTATGTATTTACACTAATCACATGCAAAAAAATCATGGAGTGAATCATAACGGTTTCCATTGTCCGGTCAGGGTAAGATCGCTCCATCGGAGGCCATGATTCTTGGCAGCACCGTCGATCCATCTCATCATAAAGCGCCCAAACGGTCGCGTATACTAGTCCGTTCGTAAAGTCGCTAGAATGATTTCGGCGACATGCACCGTGCACGAAACTCAGGGTGCGGGCGACAGCCCAAAAAAGCCTATTGCACCGTGCAAAAAGCCAAAAATTGCACAGTGCAAAGTGAACTTTCGTTTTCGCGGAGTGCATGTCGCCGAAAACATTCCAGCGACTTCACGGACGGGCTAGTAAGGGGATGTCGAATTCATGCTGATCACTTTCGTTTCCAACGATTTCTTGAGTTGCTCCAATTTCCCCTCGTTTTAGATCTAACACTGACAGTAGGAACTTGAAATCCATTACGATGAACAGATACTGTCCCAGGCGAAGCCCTTTGTGCCCGCAACGGCATGGGTGGAAAGGAAAAACCGACCGCTCTTCACGAAGAAAAAATCGGAATCCCACGGTAGAGTATGAAAATTTCTTTTCAAGCAAAGTCAGAGGATGTGCAACGCTCAGATATTGATCAAGCCTAGCGCAGATTTAGATTCCCCTGTTCTTAGATATATTCGCTTTTAGCTTGCGCTTGAAACGACTGGGATTTTTACATCGAAAGTTTCCACAAATACAACACATTTTTAGGAAGTTTCATGCCCATTTCCACCTTATTCGGTGAGTTTCCATTGTGAAGTTTGATGAGCTATGATCTAACAGGGGAAGTACTCCAAGTGCGATGCTCAGATTTTGATGAAACTTGGCACAAATTTAGAATATTTTTTTCTAGGATATAAGCGATAATCCTAGGTCGCGCTTTGCAGAAACAACCGAGATTTTTAGATCGAAAGTCGGCCAAAGTTTAGGACTTTTTGCCGAATTTCGGCACGAAAAGTTTCATGCCTATTTCGACCGTAAAGTATAATGTTTCTACAAAAAATCAAATTTTTCCGCACGAAACTGCCAAAGTAATGGCCAAAAAGCGCTTATCTCTCTGACCGCTCTCCACGTTTAGCGTTCTCTCTCAACGGCAAAAATCGTTCAATATCTCGGCGGCGTCCGCAAAGCGCGAGCTGAACCTTTCAGAAATTGATTTTTAGTCCATACCCGACGTGTGTGCAAAATTTACAGAAAATCTGAGCGTCGGACTTGGAGTAATTCCCCTGTAAGTGCATTTTTACTCAGAGCCGTAAACGCTTTTGGAAGCTAGGTGTTTCTTTCACTGTCTGAACCCTTCAGTATTCTCTAGGTCACCAGTTTAAATCGACCTCAGAAAAAAGTGACGTTTCTTACTAGATGATGTTTTTCAATGACTTTTTATAATACTAGTCCGTCCGTAAAGTCGCTGGTCGCTGCGGTACGAATGGACTAGTACATACAATTACAAAAGAATTCAATTTTTTCTAAAACTTCTTATTCGAAAAATTCTTTGAAAGCCTCCGTCTCAATCATTCAAAGATTTTCATAGCGAGAAAAAATATTTTTAGATACGAAACAACTCTTTAAAGTCGTCGCAGAACCGCCACTTTATCATTTATCGCCCCAACTTGTCACGTTCGTCAAACAAACCAAAGATTCCCAAAACCACGTGGCGCAAAACAGTCATAAAATAGAAAATATCGATGATCACTGATCTATGTTGATATCGCATCAACGACGGCGATCGATTAATTGTTGTGTCGTCGAAAGATCGCGACCAAAGAGTGATGCAATCCGCGATGAAACGTGCCTTATAACGAGGGACCCGAAAAAAACAAGGTGGGCTATGGCGTGGGAAAAGGGCAGAATAGGTTGGAAATGAGCCAAATTTAGGATGGCTAAATATGTATAAAAAACGCTGAAATTACACTCAAGCCTCGGTCTAAAAAAAATTATTCGTTATAAAAGGGTTTTGTTGTTTGGAGGCTGATTTTGGCTGATTTTATTTGACTGACCCTTGGGACTACAATTTTTCGCTAACAAGGGAAGTACCCCAAGTGCGACGCTCAGATTTTCTTTAAATTTTGCACACACGTCGGGCACGGACTAAATATCATTTCCTGAAAGTTTTAGCTCGCGATTTGCGAGCGCCGTCGAGATATCGAACGATTTTTGCCGCCGAGAGAGCACGCTAAAAGTGGAGAGCGGTCAGAGAGAAAAACGCTTTTTGGCCATAACTTTGCCATTTTCGCGCGGAAAGAATTGATTTTTTGTGGAAGCATTACCCTCAGTGGAAGAAATAGGCACGAAACTTTTGGTGCCGAAGTTCGGCAAAAATTGTCAAATTTTCGCCAACTTTCGATCTAAAAATCTCGGTTGTTTCTGCAAAGCGCGAGCTAGGATTCTCGCATATGTCTTAGAAAAAAACATTCTAAATTTGTGCCAAGTTTCATCAAAATCTGAGAGTCGCACTTGGGGTACTTCCCCTGTAAGCTAATCGGTTTGCAAAGTCGTGATTTTTGAAGGTGGCACTGTGTAAAAAAGATCAAGATGCCAGCGGCAACTCAAAAAGCCATCTTCGCGGTGCTTGTAAGACCAAAATCTCCGATTTTAGTCATAACGGTACTGAAGAGAAACGAAAAAAAGAAAAAAAGCGAAAAGAAATCTCTGCCCTAAACTCCAAAGGCTCCATGAAATTTTTTAGGTCAAAAATTGGGAAAAAATCGTCCTATTTTCCCAAATTTTTGCCCTACAAACTGCAGAGGTCTCCGTTTCCATAAAACATTCTTTTTTCCGCGCAAAATCAACCAAAATATGGCTTAAAAGTGTTTTTTCTATCTGCCCGATCACTGCATTTTTCCCACTCTCTCGCCGTCCAAGGTCGTTGAATATCTCGGCTGCTCTTGCAAAGCGAAAGCTAAAAGATTTTTTTTTGCAATTGATAGTCGCCTGCTCATTATTTTTCCGCAAGGATCAAACCTGAAAAGCGGTGCTCTCTCTAACCGCCCTCCTCATTTTCCCTATACTTATGCCTCTAAGCCTTTGAATATCTCAGCTGCCCTTGCAAAGCGTGAGCTAAAATTTTCGACAATTGATATAACATCAAAATAAAGCATTTTCTCAAAATTTCAAAAAAATCAAAGCAATTTTATGATTACAAAAACACTCTGAGTCTAAACACAACACGACCCACAACATATTTACAAAACGTCAATCTAATCGCTCTTACATCAGATTACAAAAACCCACGTAACTTTTCCCCTATCATCGCTGAAGCGGCGATAACATTTTCGGTTTTTGATCCTTTTCATCGACCCGTTTCCTCGAGTCGACGTTTGTTTTCGTGGACACAACACTTGTCGAATGTAGGACAACTGTTTCCGTTCCAAATTCGCCGACGCTTTCTCGAAAATTCCCACCGATTTTTACAGCGAAAGGGATTTCGTCAACGAAATCGGGGGTTTAATAATTTCGTCGTCGAGTTGCTTTGCTGACCGCCGAAAAGGCGGGCCGATGCGCCCGCCTATATAAGGCAATTCGTTGACAGACTGGGCGTCAGAATTGCTTTTTCGATAACGATTTTCCGCTTTGGTCTTGTTGAACTTTGGTCGAAATGGTGAGTGTTTTTTGTTATCGGTGGATGGATTTTTATTGAAATTATGAAGGGAAAAAGCTTGCAGTTTCCTCAGATTTGACTTGCGTAATCTAGAAGCAAGTTATGTGCAACAAATTGCAAATGACCTGAAAGAAAATTTGTTATAGAAAGGCTTCGCTATGAGGTTCATTTTACCCTAAAATCGACTCGCGGACCTCTGAAATTGCTCGTTATAGACAGGCTTTCTTGTACGGAAGTTTGATGTACCCAGTTTTCCCTATTATATCTCAGTCTGTCGGGAAAATAATGAGCACAATGCCGATGTAATTCGGTCTCAATTTCGACTTGAAACAGCGTTAGTGGAGAGAAAAATCTTGGTTTTTTACGGCTGACTTTTAATACCAGTCCGTCGAGAAAATAATGAGCAAAAATGTCGCTGCGCCAATTGCGTCGGCGAAGTGAAAAGCAATTTGATTTTGTCGCGACATAATTCATTTTCTCGGCGGCGATGCGATTTTTGATGCCACAGAGTCCTCATTATTTTCCCGACAGACTGATGCCGTGCTGGACAGAATTATAATCGAGTTTTTTTTTGCTAGAAGTGTTTCTCTCAAATCGAAAAGACTGTTTTTAAACGAGATATTATGTAAAATATCTCGTTTGATCATGCAAAACGCGACGCAAAATTTTAAATAATGAACACGTAAACAAGCTTGGCCTTATTTCTAGCTCGATTTAACACAAACTTCTTTCAGACAACCTATGAGAAAGGCGAGAAACCGGCAAACGGACAATTCCACTCGTTCGACCATGTCCGCTTCTACGTTGGGAATGCGAAACAAGCCGCGTATTGGTACTGCGCCAACTTTGGCTTCAAACCCTTTGCCTACAAGGGCTTGGAGACGGGCAGTCGGTTGGTGACTGCACATGCCATTAAACAAGACAAGGTAAGTTGATTTACTATTACGGAAATACATATTTTCCAGAGGGTAGTCAGCTTGACTTGTAAGGCTTGTTTGGCCAATAAAGAAAAAGTCGGTGGGCTAAAATTGAGAAAAAATAAATTATTGGAACCCCCGGGGCCTCTAGTTTTAGGATATTTAGCTTTTTAACCTTAATGCCCTTTGGCAATCACCGAATAAAAAGTTTTCTCAAAAACTCAATTTTTTGTCATAGCCATTGGAAAACTTCAATTTTAACAAAAACCCCTGAGGGCATGCAGATAAAAACCGCATGCCCTGAAAAATGGGATGACTTATGGGTCCTAATAAATTCATTTTTATACATTTTACTCCAGTAATTCACCAGTTATGGGCAAAAAAGTTTCAAATATCCGAAAGAGTAGTCAGGTTGACTTGGAAGTCTTCTTTGGCCGATAAATAAAAAAGTAGCGGACTAAAGTGGATGAAAAATCTATTTTAAAGACCGTCAGGGCCTTTTTTTTTGAGGGCATTTAATTTTTTTACCTTAGCGCCCTCCGGCAATCAGCGAATAAAACTTTTTCTCAAAAACAGAAATATTTGCCATAGTCCTTGAAAAAGCTTTGATTTTGACAAAGCCCTTGAGGGCGTACTAGAAAACAATATGCCAAAGTCACTGGGATGGCCTGTGGGTCCTTGCAATATCATTTCTGTACATTTTACCTCAGTAATTCCCGAGTTATCACCAAAAGAGTGCAACCAATCCAAAAAAATCATTTTTCAGATTATCTTCGTCTTCGAATCCGCATTGCTCCCGGGAAACCAGGAGATGGGCGACCATCTCGTTCAACATGGCGACGGAGTCCGCGATGTTGCTTTCTCGGTCGACAATGTTGACTGGATCGTGGATTACGCCAAGAAACAGGGCGCCAAAGTTGTTCAAGACGTGACGGAGGAGAAGGACGAAAATGGAAGTGTGAAGATCGCCAGACTTCAGACAGTAAGCAATTTTTTTAAAGCTCAATGTTTATGTAAAGTAATATCAGTCTGTCGGGAAGATAATGTGGATTTGTCGTCTCTTGAAATCGCCTATCATCGCTTTGAAAGCCTTGGCTGAAGATTTGGTGCGCAATTGCGAAGAGGGAAGACATTTAACTGCGAAAAATCCACATTATTTTCCCGACAGAAAATTTTTTAAATACTGACCTGTTCCAGTGGCAAAAAAATTACCATTTTGCATCCGCGGAGTATTAAAAAATTTGGCAAAATGTCTCCTTCTCCTTTGAAACCGGAGTTTTTTCACATGGAGAAAGAGACATTTTGCCACATTTTTTTGATGCTTCCCGGATGCAAAATGGTACATTTTTTTGCCACTGGATCAGGCCAGTAGTAAAAAACGTTCTGTCGGGAAAATAATGTGGACTTGTCGCGTCTTGAAATCGCCTATCATCGCTTTTGTGAGCCTTGGCTGTAAATTTGATGCGCCACCGCGAAAAGGCGAGACATTTTGCCGCGACAAATCCACATTACTTTTTCGACAGACTGATATTACTTTACATATATACTCGTCGTCAATTTTAATATTATGGAACCCCATTTTTTATGTTTTTCTTACTTTTTCGGCCCATAAATCTTTCAAAAATCTTTTCCGCATAGTGAAAATCGCAATTTAAAAACTCCCAAAAATGTTAAAGACGTATTTTACCCTCCATTTTAACCCCATTTGCCCTCTATTTCACCCCCATTTACCCTCTATTTCACCCCCTCTTGCAGTACGGCGACACCATTCACACGCTGGTGGAGCGTCACAACTACAGCGGCCTGTTCCTGCCCGGCTTCAAGCCGCATCCCGGCTCCACGGCGCTCTTCGACGTGCTGCCCAACGTGGGGCTGAACTTCATTGACCACTGCGTTGGGAACCAGCCCGATCTGGAGATGGAGTCGGCGGCGCAGTGGTACGAAAAGGTCCTGCTGTTCCACCGGTTCTGGAGCGTGGACGACTCCATTATCCACACCGACTACTCGGCGCTCCGGTCGGTGGTGGTGACGAACTATGAAGAGACGATCAAAATGCCCATCAATGAGCCGGCGCAGGGCAAGAAGGCGGTCTCGCAGATTCAGGTGAGGGGAGAGGCGAGCGGAAATTGTGCAGCGGTTTTTTTATTTTGCATGAAATTTTTTTTTTGTATGAATTTGTAATATTGGTCTGTAGGCAGTTTTATTGTATATTAGAAGTCTGTCGGGAAAATAATGAGCACTCTGTCGCAGCGAAAATCGCATCGCCGCCGAGAAAATGACTTATGTCGCGACAAAATCAAATTGCTTTTCACGTCAGTGACACAATTGGGCTCATTATTTTCCCGACCGATACAGTGGCAAAAACGTACCATTTTGCATCAAGGAAGGAACAAAAATGTCGCAAAATACCTCCCTCGCCCTCTCTCTTTTTGTGAGGGAAAGAGCGTGTTTTTCAAAATGCAGTTTTCTTACTTGTAGAGGGAGGCATTTTGCTACATTTTTTGATACTTCTCGGATGAAAAATGGTACGTTTTTTGCCACTGGATCAGGTCCGTCGCTGTAGATGAAAAGCTGAAATGCTCCAAGTGCGACGCTCAGATTTTGATAAAAATTGGTACAAATTTAGAATAATTTTTTTAAAAATGTATGTGAGAATCCCAGCTCGCGCTTTGCAAAAACAACCGAGATTTTTAGATCGAAAGTTGGGGAAAATTTTACACTTTTTGCCGAATTTCGGCACGAAAATTTGCATGTCTATTTCTACCACAGAGGGTGTTGTTTCCACAAAAAATAAAGTTTTCCCGTACGAAACTGGCAAAGATACGGCCAAAAAGTGTTTTTTCTCTGAACGCTCTCCGCGTTTCGCGTACTCTCTCGGCCGCAAATATCGTTCAATATCTCGGCGGCGCTTGCAAAGCGCGAGCTAAAACTTTCAGGAATTGATATTTGGTTCATGCCCGACATGTGTGCAAAATTTAAAGAAAATCTGAGCGTCGCACTTGGGGTACTTCCCCTGTAAATTTTATTTTTTTTTTTTGTTGGCCTACTTGTTCAAAATTTCATTTTTTGGCGTATCTCCGGTATGGCTGCAAAGAAGGAGCTAAAATTTTTTGAGATTAAAATGTGGCCAAATTGCATTCCATGGGATGAATTTGAAGAAAGTCTGAGCATCACGCCGCAAGAGCTGTCCAAAAAAGTTGGCCTAGTTACCTAAATTTTAGTTTTTTGTTGGCCTACTTGTTCAAAATTTCATTCTTTGGCTGGCCTACAGTGACGGGCCTGATCCAGTGGCAAAAAACGTACCATTTTGCATCTGGGAAGCATCAAAAATGCGGCAAAATACTTCCCTGTCCATGTGAAAAACCTCACAAAAATAGTGGTGCGCTTTTGAAATCATAATTTTTTCACTTGAAGAAGGAGGTATTTTGCCGCATTTTTGATGCTTCCCGGAAGCAAAATGGCACGTTTTCTGCCTCTGGATCAGTATTTAGCAACTGTAATTTTTGTAAGTTTCTTTTCAGGAATTCGTCGACTACTACGGCGGCGCTGGTGTTCAACACATTGCTCTCAACACCACCGACATCATCACCGCGATCACGGCGCTCCGGGCACGCGGCATGGAATTCCTCCGAATCCCCGACTCCTACTACGTCAACCTGAAGGAGCGGCTGGCCAAGTCGCGCACCACCGTCGTGGAGGACATGAGCAAACTGCAGGAGCTTCAAATTCTCGTCGACTTCGACGAGAACGGCTACCTGTTGCAGATCTTTTCGAAGCCCTGCCAGGATCGGCCCACCCTCTTCATCGAAATCATCCAACGCCAGAATCATCAAGGCTTCGGCGCTGGAAATTTCCAAGCGTTATTCGAGTCAATTGAGCTGGAACAAAACGAGCGGGGCAACTTGTTCTACAAGGACGTCAAAACTGGAGGAGACCGACTATAATATGGGAAAAGAGATATAAAATTCGTTGAAAATTGTTTTAATTTTTTGTTTGAAATTACTCGTTTTTGTACAGAAGGAAAATAAAAAATAATTTTAACCGATTTTTTCGTCGAAAAGTTGGATAAATTCCGAAATTTTTCCTCAAAAATGGTAAGGGGGGACCAAGGCAAAATTTTCGCAAATTAAAAAAATTTTTTTTTGTAAAATACGCGTACTCGCCATCGTGTCTCATATATCAACACGGTATTACCCTTACAAAATGAAAAAAATATTTTTGAAAGGTCGAAAAATTCCGAAATTTTTCTTCAAAAATGGTGAGGGGGGACCAAGGCAAAATTTTTGCAAAAAAAATTTGTTTTTATTTGTAAAATGCGGAACAACGACGTAGTTTTTTTGTTTAAAATTACTCGTTTTTGTACATAAGGAAAATAAAAAATAATCTTAACTGATATTTTCGTGGAAAAGTTGAAAAAAACCCTGATTTTTTTTCAAAAGATGGTAAGAGGGGACCAAGGCAAATTTTTTTTGTAAAATACGCGTATTCGCCATAATCTGTCATATATCAACACAGTATTCGCCTTACAAAATCATAAAAAGATTTTTGAAAAGCCGAAAAATTCCAAAATTTTTCTTTAAAAAATGGTAAGGGGGGACCAAGGCAAAATTTTTGCAAATTAAAAAAGAATTATTTGTAAAATACGGAACTTCGCCTTGCCATCTTATGTGTCAACACAGTATTCGCCTCACAAAAAAAATTCCGAAAAGTCGGAAAAAAATCTGAAAGTTTTCTTAAAACATGGTGAGGGGGGACCAAGGCAAAATTTTCGAAAAAATTTTCTTTTTAATTTCTTTGTTTCCCACATATCAACCCAGTATTCGCCTTACAAAACAACAAAAAAAAATCGAAAGTTGAAAAATTTCCGAAATTTTTTTTTCAAGAAAATGGTAAGGGGGGACCAAGGCAAAATTTTCGGAAAAAAATAATTTTTTTTTTTATTTGTAAAATACGTATATCCGCCTTCATGTGCCATATATCAACACAGTATTCGCCTTACAAAACAAACAAAAATTCAAAAAAAAATTCACTTCCTAAAAAACTTTACTTTTTCAAGTAAACCAACAACCATGATATACAATATCATCCAACAATCTATTCCTGGCTCTTCTTTTTGTTTTGAATCAGTTTGGTTGGGTCATCGACGATGAAAACGGGGGTGACGGAGAAGTCAAAGTAGTGGAGAAGATCGAAAATGACTTCGATCACAATCAAAATGATGATCATCCACTCCAGGAATGAGGCGTGCCGATGGGTCAGCATTTCGTCGATCTGATTTACGAGGTTCTCACAGTAGTCCAGGCGGGAATTCAGCTCACTGGAAAAAAAAAATTTTGATTTTTCAAAAAAATTTCTTAAAAATAGTAAGGGGGGACCAAGGCAAAATTTTCGCAAAATTTTTTTTTAAAATTTTAATAAAAGTTGGCACAAATTTAGAACTTATACCACATAAGTATTTAGCAACTTTTCACTACGCGAGAATTAAAAAAATTTAAAAATTTCGAAAAAAAAAATTTTTTAATGGTAAGGGGGGACCAAGGCAAAATTTTGGCAAAAAATTTTTTTTTATTTTTAATAAAACTTTGGACAAACTCAGAACTTAGACCACCTAAGTCCGTGACAAATTTTTACCACGATCTACAGCCTTTCAGACTCCAAAAATCAAAAAAATCCATCCAAATCCTACCGTAATCTCTTTTTGACCACAAAATACCGCAACACATCCTCAAAAACCTTGTCCAATTGCTCTCTTTCCCAATAAAAGTCGGTGTTTAGTAGGCCACTGTTCAAATTAATCGAGTATCTGAGTGCTGCGAACTCTCCGATTCTCTTCAGGCATTCTCTTCTCCTCCATGGGATAACTCCATTTTTCAGTGATTGTGTGGTCGAATTCAGAGGTTCGCTGTATTCGTTGAGCTTGTGTTCCCATATGGCCACTTTTACTGAAAGAACTCAACAAATTACAATTCACAATCGACACAAATTTATATTATCCATGAAGGTACAAAAACTAAATTTTTTCAATGTATAAGATGTCGCCACCCCCTAATTTTTGCAAATAAAATTCATCACACTCCAAAAACTGTTATGCGACCAAAAATTTCCCTAACTTCAGTGTTCCTGCCATTTTATACGACAAAACATGTTTCATCGTATAAGATGTCGACATCCCTTAATTTTTTGAAAATAAGATTCAACACAGTCCGTAAAGTGTTATGCGCCAAGAAATTTCCCTAATTTCAGTGCTCCTGCCATTTTATACGACAAAACATGTTTCATCGTATAAGATGTCTCCATCACCTATTTTTTAGCAAATATGATTCAACACAGTCCAAAAAATGTCATTCGTCCAAAAATTTCCCTAATTTCAGTGCTCTTGACATTTTATACGACACAACATGTTTCATCGTATAAGACGTCGCAATCCATTAATTTTTTGAAAATAAGATTCAACACAGTCCAAAAAATGTTATTCGCATAAAAATTTCCCTAATTTCAGTGCTCCTGCCATTTTATACGACAAAACATGTTTCACCGTATAAAACGTCTCCACTCGCAAAACTCACCACTTGCAGCCATTCCATGAGACACCGCGTATCTAACCAGCACCTCCACCGCTTTCTGAGTCTCATTCTCGATTTTCGGGATTCTGATGACGTCATTTTTTATGTTCAACTTCCCACTGCCACTAATGTCCAAAGTCATGCTCTCAATTTCCTGCTGGACCAAAACATCGTCATACGGAGTGTCTCCCAAGGGCTTCAAGTGTTCAATGAGTCGTTGGAATTCGGTTCTATCGTAGTGCCAAGAGATCAAAACGCCGTCGCTGAAGAGGAAAAACTCCTTGTTCGAGCCGGGAGATATGTTATACTCGGCTTTGGGGGTGAAATGAATGGCGTCTTCGAATTCTGAAAGAAACAGAATTTCAATTATAACATATTCAGAGTTGCGACCAATAATTTTAGCTGCTATTTAGCGATAAATCGTCAATTTTTTAGTTCAATATCAAATTTGGTCATGTATAAGGTAAAAAATATATAAAGGCGGAGTCCAAAATGGCTACAACTTTATTATATCCTCTAAAATGACCCATTAGTCATTTAGAAACAATTTTAGACAATAAAAATTATAAAACTTTGAGTTACACTTCAACTTTTACCTACTATAATATCAGCTAAAAAAGACCTCAAAAGTCAAAAAAATAATATCAAAATCTTCACTTCTTGCCCTCACACACTTTGATTCTTCATTTTAAAATCCTTTTACAAGTATACTGCCCACAAATTTACAGCAACCTCCATTTTTTCACTCACCATCATCAACAAAGGTCATTTGATAAGTTTGGGCTAATTTCGCATCGGCAAGCAGATGAATCAAATCAAAACTTTCGGCCAAAGCGACTCCAAACACCTGCGGTCGACCATCACCCTCTTTCTTGATCATAGCAGTCAAGGAACGTCTTCGTTTCAACGTTCTTCTAGCTGTTGAGCTGACTGGAGTGGATTGAAGGACGATCGGGACGGGTTTCTTGGGCTCTTTGGACAATTCCAATCGAGGAATCGACATATAAAACTGTCGTAGGCATAATAGCGAGTTTGGACGCTGAAAAAGTCAAAAATTTGGTCCTTATTTATATTGTTCATGATAAGATTTTGAGAAAGAAAAAATTGATAGTTATCAAAACAAAAAGATCTTCGACAGCTCAATAATGAAATAAAGAAACTATCTTCAAGCCAAAAATCTCTGATCTTTCCCATATTCGGCCAAAATTTCGATTTTTACCTGATCCATGACAACTTTAGAGTCAAACAGAAAATTTTCGGCGTTCTCACCGTCTAAACCTCCTAAACTAGCTCGCAACAGGTCCGACAAATCTTCTCAAGCCTATCGCTTCATGAATTACCTAAAATTCAACAACAAAATCGCAAAAAACTTACCAAATTTTGATTTTTTAGCAGAAATCTGGCGGGAACAAGAGAAGACCGGTGAAGCTGATGTCCAAAACAAGCCAGACGATATGCAGAGTTCATAATCAACAATTTCACACCGACCCGTGGGGCATAACCGAGGTTTTGTGAGTGGTTTTGACAGGAATGATGCAAAAAAAATATTTTTGAGGAAATTTTTGGGCTGAAACGGAATGCCAAGAATTTTGATTGAGTGCCAAAAACGCGGATTTTTAACGCGAATTTTATTTGAATTGACGTAACAGGTGTAAAAAATGTGATAACAGTAAATTTCCCCCAAAAGAATGTTTAAAAATGAGATTTTTTTAAATTTTGCTCTCAGATGTCAAGTATAAGATAAAAAATCGCAAAATTTTGTCAAAATTAAAGCAAAATGACAACTGTATTTTATACTACTATGTTGCAAACGCCTTATTGATCATATTTTCGTTGAAGAAATTGTCTTTTGATCTCTGTTCAAAGCATGATTCTGCATCCATCTATATTATCCATTAGTTCGTCTTGCTGGAAGAGATTTTTAATCAAAAGAAGCGTGGCGATCCATCCCATCGGGATTACAGAACGCGCAAAGTTCAAAGAGAGCTTCAGCAACCAAGCGATCAATAAATTTGAATCGATTTTAGTATGAATTTTCGAGATATTTTTTTGAAGTTTTCGCTGTGGGACCAAGATTTTTGATACTGAAATTTTATGGTAATAGTGGGATAAACTTGGCCATAATTTGAGTAAAATTTTTCTATGGAATTTTTGAGATTTTTAGCTTCTGTTTTCCAGAAATCCCCGGCTTTTTCTATCAAGGCTTTCTCTTCATTTTGCATGCTCTCTCGTTAAAAAAAGATTGTTAAATTTCTCGGCTGTGGATGTAGCGACCGAGCTAAAATTTTCAGGAGTCTTTATCTGACCCTTGTAGAGTGTCTATGCCAAATTTGAAGAAGTTTAAAAAATTTTGCCTAATGAAATTTCACTTTCAAAACATTAGCCCTCTACTACAATATCAGTCTGTCTTGAAAATAATGAGCACTCTGTCGCATCGAAAATCGCATCGCCGTCAAGAAAATAAGTCAAAATAAAATGGCTTTTCACTTCAACGACGAGATCGGCGAGACAAAATTTTGTTGATTATTTTCCCGACAGACTGAAATAATTGCCAAAAATTTAATTTTTTTGCAATTTTTAGTATTTTTTCCGCAAACTTTTTTTTGAATTATTGTATTTTACACATGCCTGGTCATATTCTGATTCTTTCTGCATTGATGCTGATATCTTCTGCCGTTTTATGACGGTGTTTCTGGGGAGCGGAACAGTTGTCCCAAATGGCCGGGGAGAGACTTGACTCGGTCGATTTTTGTCGATTTTTTAGGCAAGTTGGCGTGTCTGGTCAATTTTTCGGCATTTTTTTCAAAATTTCATACGTGACTTTCCCCACGCCTCTCTAATCATACATCTTGTTTATACTGTTTGTTTGATTACTCAAAGGTCGTTTACGTGACTTTTGCAAGATATTTTCAAGTTCGATCACCGTTCCATGCGCTCCACACGAGGTGTTCTTTGTGATGAAAACAGGGGAAACCGCGGAGGTGGATGGCTTCCGGTTTTCCCATCCACGATTGCATCAGGTTATAAGGTATTATAAGTCGAGATCGTCAATAATTTTCACTTGTTTTGTATTTTTTGCTGGAAAACTTTGGCCTCATTAAAGTGTACAACGTTTTTTCAAAAGATCAAGCTTTCCGTAAGCAAACCAAAAAAACTAATATTTTCGGCCCTTAGAATGTTATTGAACTTGAGGCAAATTTTGAAATTTTTTAAAGTTTATGGCTTTTTTTTATAGGTTTATTTTCGCCTGAAATTAGCTCCTGGGACCAAAACTTTTTTCAGTACAACAAAACCTGGATAGAACGAACCATTAAGAGGTCGCATGAGAACCTCTTCTGGCTTGATCCAGTGGCAAAAAATGTACCATTTGACATCCGGTAACAATCGAAAAACATGGCAAAAACCTCCCTTTCCAAGTGAAAATGTGGCTATTGTGGCCAAATTTAGCCGAGTCAGAGGGAATTTTTTTTTATAAATATGGAATTCTGACCTTCTAGACGTTGTCTATTCGAGATTTTGAATCATCGTGGTCTCTGAGTTTGTCTGGAAAATAATGCAAGTTTTGTCGCGGCACAATCTCTCATCTCGTCGCAGTCGCGCACCAAATTTCCAGCCGTGTCTAGCCGTCGCAAAGCGATGATGGGCGATTCGAAGTCTCGACGAATCCACATTATTTTCCAGACAAGGTCCTAGCGTTTGGCCAAATCGTATTTTACAAACATTACCTCTTTCGCATTTTGCAATTTTTTTTTTTTTTTTTAAATAAGTGTCAAATTTATGATCCTTTCTGCCAACACGGTCCTTATCTTCCCATACTCCCGTATTCTATTCATCCTTTGTTTGGCCAACAAAAAGTCGTGGGATTGAGAGGGGGGAAAACGGCAAAGTAAACCAGAAAAAGTAAATAGTAGGCTTTTTGGGACTGGAACTAGAGACTTTGCAAATGTAACGAGGGCAAGAAATCAAAACATTTTTTTTTTGATTTAAGTTCAGTTAGACCTCTGTGCAAAAGAGGATGAAAGAGGTTGTTGGTTATATCAGTCTGTCGGGAAAATAATGTGGATTTGCGCAGCAAAATGTCTCGGCTCGTCACTATCGCTCCCTAAATGTCCAGCCGCGGCTAGCCGTCGCAAGCGATGATGGGCAATTCCAAGGCGCGACGAATCCACATTATTTTCCAGACAGGCTGATAGCAGGGTGTTTGATAGCTTGATTTTTACCCGAAATTTGACTCTTGCGTCCTATGAGACGGTCATAACTTTGCCCAAACATACACCTTGTTACAATTGATGAGATTAATTTAGCTGTATCCTATTCTGCTTGCCTCTCGCGAGGCCTCGTCCAATTCGGTCGGCCGACAAAATACCTTGCCTGCTGATAACGTAATCCATCGCCTGGGGTCTTTTAAGTCCTCTTAAAATCAGTCATTATAATACCTAATCCTTCGACAAAGCGCTTACAGTTTTTTTCAGGCTTAGACGGAATTCTGAAATGATAACCTCTGATGTCTAAGGTTCAGACAACGGAAAGCATAGGCATTATAGAAACAAAGCTTCCATAAAACAAACATTTTTGTGGACAGCCAAATCTCTGGTCAACGAAAAGCTTATTTTGACCTGAAGTTGACTGTTGGGAGCAAAACTTTAAAATGCGACAGTGGTACAAAAAAGGGCTGTAAATTGCTGGGAGCACTCCCTGGAGCACGCCAAGGAATTTCGGACAATTGCAAAGGTTCTTGCCGGAGAAAAATCCATTAGAAACCCGGCAAATCCGTCATCCAAACTGCGCGCTGCAAAAGTTTTGAGCCTAAATTTTCTTGCGAGCACTATAGAGAGTACTCCTGACCAATGCAGATGTTGTCTATACAAATGGCACATTTTAAATACGTGTTATCGTGGGGCATTTTCTGGACACACAAAGATTTATACGTCTGTCGGAAAAATAGTGAGTACATTTTCGCTGCGCCGATCGTGTCGCTGGAGTGAAAGCAATTTGATTTTGTCGCGACATAATTCATTTTCCCGGCAGCGATGCGACTTTCGATGCGACAGGACGCTCATTGTTTTCCCGACAGATAAAAATCCATTCTCTGGTCTCGTGCAATTTGCTGTACAGAGGTTTTGAAGACCATTCGACCATTTTATCACCAGCTATTTTTATTCATCTGGTGTTATGATCGATCTGCGTCGTGTTCGTTCTTTAAAGTTTGATAATATTCGCACACTCTGAGGTGATTGAATGCAGACTCAGCGTTAATTCGAAATGAAAAGCACATGAACGGCAGATCCTGAACAGTTGGTTAGCCTACTGTTTTTGGGGGCTGATTAGATGACCTTTAGCCAAAAGTTTGTTTGTTTTTTGGAGGTCATAAATAAGAAAAGACAAGTTCGAAAATACAGCCATGGATCAGGTTTTGGGTGAGATAAAATTGGGGATAAAAATAGGTATAAAAAAGAAGCATAATTACTAAATTACGTTCGTAAAGACGCTGCAGTGACTTCAGCGGCATGCGCTACGAGAAAACAAAAGTTCTCCCTTCACAGAGCAATTTTCGGCTTTTTTGGGCTGTCGCTTGCACCCTTATTTTTTTTGCACAGTGCATGTCGCCGAAGTCACTAAAGCGACTTTGCGAAATAAAAAATTGTCTAAACTTATGCCGACGGTTGCACGTCAAACTGAGATAAGCTAAAACAGTCCGGTGAATGGATTGGCAATTTGTCAAAAAAGACGCAAAAAAACCTTTTGTCGGGGGAGAAATGGGGAATTTTTTGGGGCGAGAGAGTACGCTTTTGCGTGTCTTTTTTCTCTCTTTCTCTGCGAAATCAAGACGAAGTGTAAAAAACCGATAGCGAAGAGTCTATTCCGGTCACCGGACTCCTCAGTTTGACGTGGGTTGCTCAAGTACATACCGTAACCCAAAAATTTAACTTTAGTTGGTGATGCTCGTACTAGTCCGTCCAGAAAGTCGCTGGACTGAAATCAGCGACAGGCACTCTGTGAAAACGAAAGTTCACTTTGCACTATGCAATTTTTGGCTTTTTTCACCGTGCAATAGGCTCTATGAGGCTGTCTCTCGCATCCTGACTTTTTTTTGCAAACCCACAAATCAGTCCGGCGACTTTTCGGAAGGACAAGTATCCTAATTTTTACGATTTGGTTTGGCCGCAACCAGTTGCCACGGCTTCGGAGCCGGCTCTTGGCTCCGGCTCTTAGCTCCCAGAGCCGGAGCCGAGGCCAAATTTGCAGCTCCGGCTCCCGGCTCCCACAAAAAATTCAAAAAGGTCTTCGGCTCCGAATTCCGGTTCCCATTCAAAAAAAATTTTTAAATATTTTTCCAAATAAAACGTTATTAGTGCCAGAGATCACACACCCAACGTTTTTGCAGTATGCATCACACCTTTACCAGTATTTTTTTACGCAATTTGGTTTAACAAGATTATGGGATTTTTACTTTTTTGAACGCTGCG